TCTCTTTCTTAATTGTTTGTAGGGTATTGAGTGAGACTGAACTTGTCTCCTTTGGCTACTGGTGTATTTGCTGGGTTACAATCTTTCATGTTGAATCTACTCAAAACATTATCGATATAGCTCTTTTGTGATAATTTGAGAATACCTCGAGAGCGATCTCTCAGTATCTCAATACCCAATACAAAAGAGGCGTCACCAAGATCTTTCATTTCAAAATTCTTCGTTAGAAATTTCTTGGTTTCGTGCAGTTAGCCTATATCACTACTGGCGAGTAGAATGTCATCAACATATAACACCAGGAAAATAAATTTACTCCCACTGAACTTGTGATATACACAATCATCAACAAGATTAGTCTCAAAACCATATGAGTTAATAACTTTGTGAAATTTGTGATACCATTGACGGGAAGCTTGTTTGAGACCATAGATGGACTTCTTAAGTTTACAGACCATTTTCTTTGGATCTCCCACAACAAAGTTTTGTGGCTGAACCATATAAATCGTCTCATCAATGTCTCCATTGAGAAACACAGTCTTCACGTCCATCCGATGTAGCTCCAAATCAAAATGAGCCACTAGTGCCATTATTGTCCAAAAAGAGTCTTTCGCATACACTGGAGAGAAAGTCTCTTTGTAGTCAATGCCTTCCTTTTGAGTAAAGCCCTGAGCGACTAGACGTGATCTAAATCTCTCAATCTTACCCTTAGAGTCCCTTTTGGTTTTAAATATCCATTTATTACCAACCGGAACTACTCCTTTAGGGCATTCAACGACATCCCAAACGTCATTGTCATACATGGACTTCATCTCTTCTTTTATGGCACTATTCCACTGTTCAGAGTTAGAACTGCGCATGGCCTGAGCGAGGTTGATAGGATCATCCTCCATTAAGCCTATGCCATCCTCATGTTCTTGAAGAAAGACGACATAATCATCCGGAATCACACTTCTTCTTTCTCTAGTGGATCTCCTAAGTGGCACTTCTTGAGGATGTTGATTTTGTTCCACTGGTGGTACAGGAGGAGGAATTTCATTGTTGTCTTGTTCAATAACTATGTCAGGACTAGTGATAGGTATGATAACCTAATCACTATCAATGACTTGTTCTTCCTCAAAAACAACATTCCTTATGTTTCCTTCCCCCCAAAACTCAATATCCTCAAGGAATATCGCATTTCCCGTTTCAAAGAATGATCGTGAGGTGGGATTGTAAAATTTGTAGCCTCGAGAGTACTGCAGATAACCAACAAAGTAGCAACTTACAGTCTTTGAGTCTAGCTTTCCTTCATGTGGCTTATAAGGCCTTGCCTCAGTTGGACAACCCCAAATGTGCAAGTGCCTAATGCTAGGCTTTTTGCTTGTCCATAGCTCATAAGGGGTTTTAGTTACTACTTTGCTTGGTACCCTATTAAGTATTAAGGATGTATACAACAGTCTTTAGAGCTTCCCCCCAAAGTGACTCCGGTAAGGAAGAATGACTAAGCATACTTCTTACCATGTCTTTAAGAGTACGATTGCGCCTTTCTGCAGCGCCATTCATGCTAGGTGTTCCTGGCATGGTGTATTGAGGCACAATCCCACACTCTTTGAGGTAAAGCGCAAAGGGTCCTGGACGTTGTTCTCCGGATCCATCATATCGACCATACTATTCTCCACCACGGTCCGATCTGACAGCCTTAATTTTCTTTCCAAGTTGAAGTTCAACTTCAGCCTTAAAAGACTTGAAAACATACAAGGATTGCGACTTCTCATTTATCAGAAAGAGGTAACCATATCTAGAGTAATTGTCTATGAACGTGATAAAATATTTGTCACTGTTCCAAGATTCTGTAGGGAATGGACCACATATATCAGTATGAATGAGTTCTAAGACGTCTTCAGCTCTATTGGCACCCAATTTCTTAATATTTGTTCTCTTACCCTTAATGCACTCAATGCAGACTTCAAAATCTGCTAAATCTAAGGGTTCAAGAATTCCATCAGACACAAGCCTCTGAATTCTCTGTTTGGATATATGTCCTAAGCGCTTGTGCCATAAAGCAGCAGAATTCTCATTAAATTTTCGCTTTGTACCTCGTGAACTTGTTTGGAGGATTTCATTATGGGAACTAATCACATCAAGCATGTATAGATTATCAATCAATGGACCTGTACCAATCAAAACTGAATTTTGTGAGAGACTAAATTTATTATCTCCAAATGAACAAGAATAACCTGATTTGTCCAAACATGGAGCCAAAATTAAATTCCGTCGAAATGACGGCACCACAAAAGTCTCAAACAAATCCAAATGACATCCAGTCTTTAATTGTAATCTAAAAGTCCAATAGCCTCCACTGCAACTTTATTGTCGTCCCCAACATAGATGAACTTTTCATTCTTACTTGGTGGCCGGCTCCACAGGCAGCCCTGCAAAGATACACTTATGTGAGTGGTAGCACCAGAATCCACCCACCAAGTATCCATAGGCACAAAAGCTAAACTAACTTCAGAACAAACTAAAGTAAGAAGCTCACCCTTCGTTTCACGCCAAACGGCATACTTGGGACACTCCTTCTTCATGTGACCAGTCTTCTTACAGAAGTAGCAAGGAAACCCCTCAGTTTGCATCTTTGGTTTCTTTTGCCGAGAAGACTTTTCTGCAACATCCCTAGCTCTCTTCTTGATTTTGTTTTGAGAACTTGATGCTAAGTGAGCGCTCTCAGTCCTATCCCGCGCTTGCCTCTCTTCCTCTTACACACAGTGAGCTATAAGCTCATTGAGAGACCACTTGTCTTTCTGAGTGTTATAGCTCACTTTGAATTGCCCAAAGTGTACGAGCAAATCTTCAGACAATTCTAACTTTAGTGACTTGAGTTTTGATGCGAGATTAGACATCTCCATAATGTACTCCCTTATGTTCCCCTTGCCTTTATACTTCATGGAAACGAGCTTAGACGGAAGGTTACTTGCCTCTGATTTTTCATTCTTGGCAAAGTATTGCTCAATTTCCTCAAGGAACCCCTTAGCGCTCTCATTCTCAGTCATAGATCCCCGAAACGCTTCTGGAATAGAGCGCTTCATGGTCATCATACACATACGATTAGAGCAATCCCACTTTTCTATTTTAACCTCATTAAGGTTATCCGGAGTAGAAACAAGACGCTCCAACCGCAGTGCAAGATCCAAATCCATACAACCGAGAAAAATTTCTACGGTTTCTTTCCAGATCTTAAAGTTTGTTCCATTCAATAGTGGAATCTTGCTAATTTGAGCAGAAACATTGGAAGCAGAAGCTAAAGACGCTATAAAGAAACAAGAAAACATGCACTCATGTCAAACAAAATACACGAGAAGAAAATTCAGACATTTAAGTTTTATTTCTGAAACCCATCTTAAGATACCAAATGCAACATTAACTTTTAGTCTTTGGACAGAGAAATTAACTGCGAGCGATACTCTTACTAAAATGATCAAATACTGATAATGAGTTCTGTCAAATAATAGTTTATCTTTGGACCAACTATCATTCACATGAAAATAAACTTTACAATCATCACATATTTATCATTAAGGTGCATCATCATTTGGCCAAATAGTATCTACCTTTGGGACGAACACTATCCGCATAAACAACCACACACTATACATCCAAGTAATTTAATTTGATCAATTTGTACACTAGAGGTTACTTTGGCAGCATAACGTAAAGAATCAAATCAATTTAAAATTACTGGACCAATTGATTGATTACGTGAACCATGTGCGTTCAAAATCAATATATATATACATACCCAAAATACACACACAGTAAACCAATCAAACAATTATAAAATAACCTAAACAGAAGCAATTAAATCCCGATGAAGAGGGTCTGAAACCAAAGAACCCTCAACCTCTACTTTATTTTCATAAACACAGACGGGATGCTTAATGCTTGATTTGGAACAGTGCTTTACCCAAAACTTCATAACCAGGACGATGAAGAAAAGATGGAACCCTATATAATGAAAAGAATGAAATCTCCACCCAACAACCTAAAATTCCATTTTTTTTAAGCAACATAATCATAACTGATCCAAAAGCAGCCACCGGTATTGCCCAGTCATGAATCCAATTCCAAGCAAACGCAGGGCAATACTGATCTACAATATGCATGGGTACGAGAACAGTAGCATGCAATATGTACCTAACTAGCAATGCAATCATGCATATAACAGATCTGCGTATGCGGAAGCCTCAATAATATAACAAAGATAACCTGCTTTGATACCATATGTCTGCATCAACGATGGTCCTGGATCTTGTGGTTTTGGAATGCTAACGACTTTGAGTTTGGAATCATGTGCACTGGTTTCTGGTTGCTGGTTAAAGTTGTTGTAAACTTTACGTTTTGAGTTGGTTTCGGCTCTGTGCAGGCATTGTGTAAAATCTCGGAGTTTCTGGAACAACAACCCTCTCCCTTTACAAGATTGAAGTCAATGATCGTGGAGACTCCCCGAAAACCTCACGAACGGGTCAAATTCTTTTTTAAAGAGTCATGTAGTGTGAAACCAAGCGTTGAGTGTCGTCCGGGTCGATGTCGAAAATCGGATCTGAACTGGGGTCGTTTGATGGAAACCCAATTCTTGGGATCTATCATAATAATTATTATTACTATAATTAGGATATTATTATTTATGGTAGTAGTCATTGAGTCATATTAGGATAGTCTATTAGGTTTTTCCAGTCTTTTGTTATAAATATGTACTTTGCGTTTTATTCAGAGGCAGTCAAGAAGAATATTAAGAAAACTCTCCTAAACCCTATTTTCCCAATCCTCTCAATTCTCGATCTCAATTCTTCTAAAGGCCTAGGCCAATTCCCTATCTTTCTCTTCTCAAATCCCTAATTTTGTTCTTAATTCCTAAATCCCAATCTCACAACTAGACCCGATAGAACCCCAATCCCAGGTTCTATCATTTTGTATCAGAGCCTGGTTGAAAATCAGAGTTCATCACGACTCCCAACCGGGGACCACTATCGCGCGCTCCACGAGTGCCTTTGCAAGCTGGAAGCCCTCACGATCAAATGAGAGACAGACTGGGAGCGGCGGAACGCAGAGTTCACACGACTCCTAGCTCTGATTAGCAGAAGGGTCACCGCAGTTGAATCACCACCTACGGCCGCGGCATCTCCTGGCCACAACAAGAAGACAAACCAAACGGGCATAGAGAAGCTGCTAGAGGCATCAGGTCTTGCGTCGAACGACAAGGAGAAGATGCCACCGCTGGAGATCGAGCCATCGCCGACGAAGAAGGCGAGAACGGCGGCGCTGGGATCGCCACCCATCCGCCTTGTGGGTTGCGTCAGGAAGGAGGAGGCAGGTGAGTCAGCGGATGAGGAGGCGGAGCAGAGGAAGAACCCGCCGGTGGTCAAACTGAAGAAGAAGGGCGGTGGAACTACTCCTTGGGTTGCAAAACCTCCATTCTTCGTTAGGGGCCGCCTTGAGGAGCAAGGGCAGAATCATATAGGCCGAGCGAATGCCGTGGCCAAGTGGGACGAGAGGCCAGAGAAAATGGGATCAAAGGAGGAAATAAGCGGTGGGCCAAGTTGGAAACTGATGTCTGGGTATCAGTTTGGCAAAGGCCTTATATGGAGTTCGATTGATGTTAGACAGATTTTATCAACTCTCGGGGTTACAATGTAACCCTGAGAAATGCGAAGTGTTTTTTGGTGGTCAAGCTCACCAGTATAAGCTCATTGTGTTGCAAGCTTCTGGATTTAGAGAAGGGCATCTCCTAGTTCGTTATTCTCTAGCCATGAATGTGCGATGCTTGTGGATAAACTGATTAGGAGGATTTGTAGTTGGAGGTCTAATACTTTATCTTATGGGGGGAGACTTCAGCTCATTGAGTCGGTTCTATATTCTCTGATTCATTACTGGATGGCGATCTTTGTTATTCCTAAGAAGGTCATTAAAGCTATCAGAAGGCTTGTTCTGATTTTCTTTGGCACGGTGACAAGTCAGGGAGGGCTAAAGTTGCTTGGGAACAAGATGATTCATTTTTCTGTTTCAACGGTTTGGAACGCCTTGCGTATCAGACAACCTTGTGTAGCCTAGTGGAAGATTGTATGGGGGCAAATTCACTCTCCCCAGATGCAGAATTTTGGCGTGGCTCATTATCATTAATCGAATTCCCACGAGGGACAAGCTCAAAGCGTGGGGTGTTGCTATAGATGATAGTTGTGTTTTTGGTACTGCATCCAGTGAGTCGAGGGAACACTTGTTCTGTGAGTGTCCATTCACCTTGACCTTCCTTTCTTCTCTTCTCAGAACTACCATTCGCTTGCCTACTACGTGGGATGATATGATAATGTTGATGTCTCACAAAGCTATCAAAAATGACAACAAAAGTTTGCTTGAATGTTCCATTTGGTGCTGGACTACGGCTTTCATCTGGCGTGAACGTTGCACCAGGGTTTTTGGAGCTATTCCAAGACAACCTGAGCTGCTGGCTTCTCTTACGAGGGAGGAAATTTACTTGTGTTTCAGTCCGTTATTCAGACATTGACAGAGTTATATAGAATTATTACCCCCTAGTAGATAGTTTTTGCTTTCTGTTACTCTGTGGGAGTTTGCATTTGACAGCCTGTTGTCTTGTATTTTTTCGACTCATGATGTTTGCATCGAATGAGCTTTAATGGAAACCACTAATTACCGAGAGAAAAAAACACGTATATAAACTAAACAGGGTCATATTAAGCACTCCTTGTGATTAGCTTGGACATTCAAGCTGCCAAATACAAGCACAAGAAGGCACTTCTCTGAATCACCAGCAGCTTGGGATTAGGAGTTGCTTCGGTCTTGCACATTAACTAGTTGATTACCAGGCTGTATATAGTAGTAGTAAGCAGTAAAAACAGTGAAGGAAGGCTGGAATGATAATAACCACCATTCAGTTATCGCTACATTAGTACATATATCTTCAAACATTCAATCTGCTATTGCTGTAAGTTACCTATTACAATATCATCCAACAGTTGGGCATTCAGATATTCCAACTTCAACATCACAACCATGCTAATATGCTTCCTACTACTTAGAGTATGGTTACCTAATACAATATCATCTCAAGGTGTAAAAACTGTACCAGGCACCATAAGGTTGAGATGATAGCTCACTTGGCATCATAAGTCTATAACTTGGGCAAAAACAAACAGTCCAGAGAGGTCTCTAATACCTTCGAGTCAAGGGAAAACGCATTGCAAGCCAAGATTAAAGTTGAACTTCTGTCTTCATAAGACCCCATTTAAGCTTGACACCAGGCAATTCCGAACCACCTCTACCTTCCTCCTCCACACGCTTCAGCAATTCCGCCGCCAATCAGCGCCAACGATGATAGAACCTGGGATTAGGGTTCTATCGGGTCTGGTCGTGAGATTGGTCTTTAGGGATTAAGAACATAATTATGGATTTGAGAAGAGAAAGATAGGGAATTGGCCTAGGCCTATAGAGGAATTGAGATCGAGAATTGAGAGGATTGGGAAAATAGGGTTTAGGAGAGTTTTCTTAATATTCTTCTTGACTGCCTCTGAATAAAACGCAAAGTACATATTTATAACAAAAGACTAGAAAAACCTAATAGACTATCCTAATATGAATCAATGACTACTACCATATCTAATAATATCCTAATTATAGTAATAATTATTATTATGATAACTCCCAAGAATTGGTACTAAGGTAAGAGAGGTTTAGTTCATACCTCTTGGAAGAATTTTGTGTTGCAAAAAATGCTGGACCCCTTCAATGATATCAATGCTTACCATTCCTCAGTTTCTTTGAAAAAACCCTGCTGTGCATCCATCTGGCCCAGGGGCCTTCGAACCATCCATAGCAAAAAGAGCTTCTTTGTTCCTGACTTAAGGTGGTGTGTAAGCATTCACGAATGATCTCCGAATCCACACTAACAGAATTATCAACCACTCCAAACAATCCCTTATAGTATGAGAATGCTTCATCAGCAATGTCTTGTGTACCAGTCAGCTCTCTACCATCATTTGCCATGATCTTCCTTACCTTTTTGCAAGCTGCACGAATGACAGCAGCCTTATGGAAGAATCCTGAGTTCTGATCCCCAAAAGTGAGCCACCTTATTCTTGATTTTTGTCTATAAAAAGCCTCTTCTTGTTTAACCAGTTCAGCATAGGCTTTGATAAACTCACTCATTTCTGAAAAAAGATCTGGAGCTGGATTATGCAAAGCTTGAAGCTGTAATGCTTTGACCTCTTCTCTTTTGTGCTTAAACCTCTCCGAGATATCCGAGAAAGCATTTTTATTGAGTTTGCGTAGTTCAGTCTTGAGCAAGTACAGCTTATACTTCACAACAAAGAAACCCTTCCCAGAAACTTGCTGTGTCCATATGTTTTGAAGGATGTCACAATACGAGTGATGTTGTTCCCACATGTCAAAATATCTGAATGGCTTGGGGAACTTCCTCACAGGAACTCTCGGTATTACCATCATTCCACAATGATCAGAGAAATCAAGAACAAGGAATTCAGCAACACATTCAGGGAAAATGTCAAACCACTCTACATTCACAAGGATTCTGTCTAGTTTTTTAGCAATTGGATTGGCCTGCTGCTGATTAGCCCAGGTAAAAACAGGACCAGTAGCTGTGTGATCTACAACCTCCATCTTATCAACCCATACACGAAACTCAGACATGCTACTATTAATTGATACCTCGTTTGAAGATTCAGAGGGAGCCAGTATGGCGTTGAAGTCCCCACAGATGAGCCAGGGGGCACCCTGAATCTTCCATTTACTCAATTCCTTATACGTTAGGAGTCTCTCCTTTTCATCATTGGAACCATAAACTACTGTGAAAAAGAAATTCTCACCCTGCCTTGTGGAAACTGCAGCGTGAATAAAATGAGTCTCTTCTGCTAACACACTCAACGTAATATCATCTGTCCAACCAATCCAAATTCTCCCTAAAGGATGCTTAGAGTAGTTATCAGCAAACTGAAAATCAGGGAACTTCCGTCTGATGTCATTCACCTTCTTAAGATCCTTAACTCTGGTTTCTAACAAAACTAATAATGAAATCTGACGGGTACTGATATATCGAAGCATATCATTATGCTTCGTGGGGCTATTGAAGCCCCTTGTATTCCAGGCGAGGATTGTCATTTATGAAGAGTAGCCACCTTGGTGGCTTCCCCCCTTTTCCTTAGTCCCTCCCTCCCTGTCTTCTTTGGTGGAGGCGCCTGTAAACAAATATCCCTCGATCCACAGAGAACATCAAAAGCATTGGAATGTAATATGGGAATCGAACTCTTTTTGGTTGATCTGGATTTCACACCATTGATGACCTTGTTAAACTCTTCCTGCGAAGGTAGTGTACTTGGTGTAACAGGTGCTGGTGAGGCTGGTATCTCCTGGCTAGTAGCAGGTGCTGGTGTTATCTCCTGACTCTCGACAATGGCTTTGCCCTTCAGTGCAGCTTGGAGAACTTGAGTTGCCTCAGATATCTGGCTCGTGGAAACCATTGCAGGCTCAATAGAAACAATCAGCGGGGTCTTCTTCCTCCAGACCTTCTTAGTGTGAGCTCCAGACAGAGGCAGTGAGCAATCATGTCCAAAGACCCCACAATGAACACAACACTTCGATAAGCCACAGTACTCCACATTGATAAACATTTCCTTCATATCGTCCGGAGTAATGCTAATCCTGTCAATCCGTGGTTTCTTTGCCTGAATCTCAACACAAATTCGCACAATACCAAATTTCTCCCGACGAGCTGTGGAATGATCCATACATAACGGTCTACCCAGAGAACTGGCAATCCTCCCCAATCCTTCTCTAGAAGCGAGCTCAATTGTGAGGCCCGAGAGCTTTATCCAAGCTGGAATAGCCGAGTTGTCAATCTCCATCGCCTGAATTCCAGGTTCCCAACGCCTGAGACAAATAATTCCAGGTGCCAAGGACCCCCCTCAAAAACCCAGTGACATACCGATTCTTACGGAAACTGAAATAGAACAAGACGTTCCTCTAACAAGTAGACTTTTACCTCGCCTTCTTTACCTTATATCCAATTTGCCCAGAACCTCAAAGTCTAGACGGATGGAGGTTTGGCCAAAAACTGACCAACAAGACTATGCTCCCATGGTTTTCATTGATGAATTCGGGCTCGAAGTGGTCAAGCCTGGTCTCCTCCTCAACGTGAAACAGAGACGCCTAGGACCTGCCGCCACCAAAGGCGCCCGGCGAGGCCCCATAAGCGACGGCAGTCATCGTGAGGGGAGAAGAAGAAGAATTGATCACACCTAAGGGCATGAAAAATACAAGGAAACTGTTATATATATACGTGTTATTCTGCCAGATTATTGGAAAATAAAATTTCAAATAAACACCATTAAGTTTATACTTTACATCTCAACTTCATTCAATTCTCTCTGTTATCCAAAGTTCCCAACATTGAATGAGCCTTGTGCTCTCTGTTCGGGAAACGAAAACTATGATAGCAACTCGTTTGTTAGGCGGCCTTGGGTGTTTTCTTTGGTTTTCTATGTTACGTATTGTGCTTGTGTGGGTATTGGGCTTAGGGGATATTGTTGGGTGAATTAGTATTTAGACTTAGTTTATGGGAGCTAAGTCTCCGTTTATGTGTTGGGATAAGAGAGGGCCGAGAGGCCTAGGGAAGTAGTAGGGGTCGGCTAGGGTTGATGGTTTAGGTATTAGGTTTAGTCGTCTATATATTGTATTCACGGAATTAGTCCGAGGATCAATCAATAAAAATAAACCTAAAACAGTCTTTCGACACTTTACGTCGTTCTCTCGCTTGTGAGCTACAAGCAAACCCTAACCCGATAACAACAAGTTGCTATCAATTGGTATCAGAGCCTGGTTCGACAGAACCGAGCTCTAAACAGCTCTCGGGAAAGACATCGACAGCGCCTGCTTGTGCTCGACATCAGAGCATGGTCTTCGACGTGGAAGCCTGCTGCGCCATGGCAGAACAGATGACTGCAACCTGTAAGAACATGGTGGCAAGGATGGATGCTTTGGAACAGTTGTTGGCGGGGTTTATCCCCGAACGCGTGACTGTCATCGACAGGAAGCGAAGCGACGACGACGTGGCCCGCGTCGACGCCAATGAAGTCAGGGCGGCAGAGAAGATGGAGATCTCCGACAATAACGTCGACGGGAAGGAAACAGTGCGCAACTGTGATTATCACCTCTGCGAGGCTCTCACCCAACGATCTGGAAGCGATGGGAAGGAAACACTGCGCCGCGGTGATTATCACCTCGACGAGGCTCTTACCTATCGATTCCGAAGCTGCGAGAAGGTGGAATCCGCGGTTAGGGTTCAGTCCAAGAGAAACAAAACTACTGTTCTAAACGGACACTCGATGGGATCGTTCCAGTGGACGCCATCATTGCAGCATCTGGGGGTCGAACGTGTGGAATTGGATGACATTCCAACCGATGCGAGGACAAACAGAGTTCGGACAAGGAGGTGGAAGTTTCGGAAGCGACCGACGACTCAACGTCGCCGCAAAAGTTGTTGTTGCTTTCGACGACGACCACCGCGTCTCGTCATGGACCGAACCTTGGAGACCAAGGTTCCTTAAGGGGGGGGGGGGGGGGGGGAGGAATGATAGCAACTCGTTTGTTAGGCGGCCTTGGGTGTTTTCTTTGGTTTTCTATGTTACGTATTGTGCTTGTGTGGGTATTGGGCTTAGGGGATATTGTTGGGTTAAATAGTAATTAGACTTAGTTTTTGGGAGCTAAGTCTCCGTTTATGTGTTGGGATAGGAGAGGGCCGGGAGGCCTAGGGAAGTAGTAGGGGTCGGCTAGGGTTGATGGTTTAGGTATTAGGTTTAGTCGTCTATATATTGTAATCACGGCATTAGTCTGAGGATCAATCAATAAAAACAAACCTAAAACAGTCTTTCAACACTTTACGTCGTTCTCTCGCTTGTGAGCTACAAGTAAACCCTAATCCGATAGCAACAAGTTGCTATCAAACTGGAGAACAAAAATGTGAATTTGGCAGTGTTGTTGTTAGTTAGTGTGGGAATGATTTGTTTGATTAGCTGGACCGATTATTCACAGCACAAAAATGAACTGAAGGAAGAAGAAACCGCCATTTCTTGCTGAGTTCGACTACCATCTACCTAACCATTTCTACATACTCACTCTTGCCATGGTAGACAAAATATTAACTACTTGAGTCTTGATCTTCAAGTTCTTGCAAAAAATCTGCATACCATACTTCCAGCTCCACTATCTCCTTCCATCGATTTCCCATTACACAGAAGAAATTAAAGAGACTGTTTCAGGAAACAAACCGCCCTTGCAGATATGCAATATCAGCAGACAGGCAACAAGACTTGTAGCATGATAGCCGCAAAACAAGAACAAATCAGCACTCTACTTGCTGAAAAACTAGGGGAAACCAACTGAAAGCTAAACTGAACCTAACACAAATCCAACAGAACATGCATCAAGTAAAGAGTTAAATCTCATTTTTCAGATAACAAAACAAGTATAATCAAATCCATCTCAAACAAATGGGGACACTCTTGTTTGTTGGTTCAGTTTTGGCTATTTTTTCTCCTCATAGGGCTATGAATAATAAAATAAATCAATAAATTACACCTTTAAATGTACGTTTCAGTAACATATGTTTGGACTAAAAGCAAATGACAATCTGACCGAATTTTTCAGCGTGTGCGCCACCTCCAGACTTTTATGTCTGGCCTTCTTATTTATGCCCACTTCTTAGTGGTTTCCTCCTCCCAACATTTCCCTTTTTTTCTGTGTTATAGCCACCACCTTCCCTCAAAGGTTGTTTGAATACAGTAATTGAGAAATAAGATAATTTGGTTTCTAATCGTCTCATTTTACAAAATGAGTCAATTGAAATGACTTGTACTCAATACAATTGAAATTGTTTCATATTAGATAAATTCAAATTCATCGAGACAAATTGTCCATCCAAATTTTATATTGCCAAAAATTCATTTTAGCCTAATTATCTAAAAATGAGATAATTGAGTCAAATTGATCCATTAACATTTCTCATCCAAACCATGAAAATTTTCTCCTCTTTCCCCTTCTAGTATGAGTGGTTTAACGAGAAGAAAATGGGTAATTAACATAAATGATTATAAAACTTTATACTTTGTACAAATTGGTCCGAAAACTTTCGTGTAAATGCAACATTTGGTCACTAAGATTACTAAATTACATCATGTTTGGTCACTAGAAAAATTTAATATTTTTGTCCACTCGAATTACTAAAACAGGTCACATTTAGTTACTCTCCCGTTAGCATCAGTCCAACTCCAGTCACTCGAATTACTAAAACATGTCACATTTAATCACTCGAATTACTAAAACATGCCACATTTAGTCAATCTCCCGTTAGTTCCCGTCCAACTCCAAAACTAACGAGAGAGTGACTAAATGTGACATGTTTCAGTAATTCGAGTGACCAAAATTGATATTAAATTCTTCTAGTGACTAAAAATGACACAATTTAGTAATCCCAGTGACCAAATGTGACATTTATCGAAGACTTTCATTTTGCACAACTAAGTGAAAAGTGTTACATGTTTGAATTAATGGTCATTTTACGTCCACTCCATCCAAAAAAAACTTAATAGATTGTTGACGGTAGGTACTTCAGCAGTTGAGTTAGTCACCACCTATCTGTTAAATTTTCTGGAATTGCTATTCGTCACCCTACAATTTTAAAATTTTCGCCCTAAACCACCCTACGTTGACGTTAATACCCCTAGTTTTAATCCCTAACCCCTAACTTCCCCGCCGGCCAAATTCCGGCCGACCCTTGCTGTTCATCCAACCTGCCGCATCTCCCATTCCCAAGCCACCATCGTTGTTTTCCCCCCCAGCCGCCGACCTGCTGCCATTGCAAAGAAGGAGAAAGAATCCAGCGGTCGGATTCGGTCGCTATGGCCATTCTCCTAGCCAGGCGACCCGCTGCAATTCCCCCAATTTGCCCACCTGCTGTAGTTGCCGATGAAGGAGAAAGAAGAAGCATGAGGAAGAGGAAGAGGTCTAGCGCTGGTCACCCGCTCCGAATCTCCCAATTCGCCGGCCTGTTGCTGTTGCTGAGGAAGGAGGAAGAAGGTCCAAGCGGGTAAAAACGTCGATTCTCCAATCCACTGATTCATCTATTTTCTTCGAGGAGCGTATGGTTTGGAGAAGGCGATTAATAAAGATATCAGCAATGCTGCTGCTGTGGCCACCAGAACCCACCAAATTTGCTCATCGTTTTTGCGTGGGAAAGCTGCAATTTCTTTCTCTCGTTGTTTTTGTGTGAGAAACGACTGCGAAAGGTGAGATTGATAACGTCCAGAAGCTTGGAAGTGACGACGATCGATGGACTTGAAGGAAACTATTCCTTCAACACTACCAGAAAGCAGTAAAACAAGCCAATGGTTACAAGGTCTGCAATTTAAACATATTACATGCTGCCACTTTCCTTGCTGTCATTCATAAACTCCTCATGATGATGACGACTTTTTTGTTCAGGTTTTAATTTCATTTGCTTTAATCCTCGGGGATGGTCTCTACAATCTCCTCAAGATACTTTGTTGTACAGTTGCTTAGAACTTAGAAGTGACAACGAACCAGAAATTTCTACCATAAAAGTGACAAGAAACGCATCAAGGAC